GTTGTTGTTGTTGTTGTTGTTGTTGTTTTGGTTGTTCTTGCTGTTGTGGTTGTTGTTGTTGTTGTTGTTGTTGTTGTTGTTGTTGTTGGTGTTGTTATTGTTGAGGTTGTTGATGGTGATGGTGCTGATGATGCTGCTGCTGATGATGCTGATGATGATGCTGTTGAAGATGACGATGATGCTGATGATGATGCGGATGCTGATATGATGTGATGATGATGGTGGTGACGACGATGATGCTGATGATGGGGAGGAGGAGGAGGAGCAGGGAAGGGAGGAGGAGAAGGGAAACATATAAGCACTAATGAGGATGCTGCTGATGATGATGCTGATGATGATGATGATGATGATGATGATGATGGTGATGCTGCTGCTGCTGATGATGATGAGGATGATGATGCTGCTGATGATGATGACGATGATGCTGCTGATGATGATGTTGATGATGCTGCTGCTGCTGCTGATGATGATGATGATGATGATGATGCTCGATGTGATGGCGGTGGCGATTATGACGGCGGTGACGGCGAGGCTGACGCGGAGCAGCAGCGGTAGCGCGGCTCAGGTGGAGGCCAAGGAAGAGCCGCATTCACGACTGGTGCGTTCGACAGGCGCAAGGGGGGGGGGTGGGGGGGCATGGGCGGGGCAGGGAGTGAGGGGAGGGGCATTAGGGCAGAGGAGTGTCCTTTCGGATGGCATTGAAGGTACCTGGAGGTCTCCGAGGGCCTTCGGCGGACCCTCGAGGTTCCCACAGATGTTCAGAGGCCTTCCCCCAATCAAATGCGGCTGGCGCCCTCACAAGATGCCCGTGGGGCCCTTCTCACCACTTACTAAACCACCCCCACCCAACCCGAATGCCCTAGACCACTCCAAATTTCGGATTGGGGGGTGCACGGGTTCCATCGTGTTCCCCTCGATGTTCTGGAGTGCCCCCCCCTCTGGACATCGCCGAGCCCAACGGTGACTTCGGGTTGGGTTCGGATGGCTTGGCAGGTAGTCACTTTCGGGGCCTCTCGGGTCTCTCCCCCCCACTTTCTTTCTTTCTTTCTCTGTCTCTCTCTCTCTCTCTCTCCTTTTTTCTTCCCCTCTCTCTCTCTCGAGGGTATGAACAAAAACGAGGGTATACAACAACCCTTGGGTTACACACACACACACCTCACACGTTTCGTGGCTCCATATGGGGCTCCACCGAAGGCCCCAGTGGCAGGGTCCACATGCGTTCGCCCGAGCCATGTCGGGACACCCTTCACCCGTGTTGTGGCGTGGTCCCATAGGGAGTTCCACTAAAGGCTCCAGTGGGAGGGTCCACTTGCGTCCGCCCGACCCATGTCGGCGCACTTTTCCGCCGTATCGTGGCCCGTAGGGAGCTCCACCGAAGACCCCAGAGGGAGGGTCCACATGTGTCCGCCAGACCCATGTCGGGACTCCCCTCACAGGTGTCGTGGCCCCATAGGGAGCTCCACCGAAGGCCCCAGTGGGAGGGTCCACGTGCGTCCACCGGACCCATGCCGGGACACCCTTCACCCGTTTCGTGGTCCCATAGTGAGCTCCACCGAAGACCCCAGTAGGAAGGTCCGCATGCGTCCGTCCGACCGATTTCGGTATAGCCTTCACACGTATCGTGGCCCCATAGGGAGCTCCACCGAAAAACGATTTTCATAACTGCGTGACTCACACATGCGTATGGATGGGTTCTTCGCCCAGATATTTTACAATCCGCTGCCCCAGAGTTCCCCATCCTTTCCAGGGGGCGGTTTCGCGCCCCATGTTCATTTTTGGCCGCCTTGGGGGCAGACAGCGGGCCCCGGAGGCCTACATCGAGGAGAAACGCCCGGAAGGAAAAAACATCAGATCGTCGGATAGCTGGGTCCAGAGACCGCCAGAGACCCCCCGAGACGTCCAGGGACGCAGATGGCCCACGGCTTCCCCGTCCCTGCCTCGCGCTCTCGCTGGCGGCGAGCCCCTGGGTCTCCCGTGGCTTGGCGGCTGCCCGTCGTCGCCAGAGGCCAAAAATCGTCCGAGGTTTTTTTTGTTTTCTCTTCCCAGGGGTGCGGCTGGGGGCTCTTCCTCCTCCTGCTGCTGCTGCTCCTCATCCTCCTCCTTCTCTCCTCCCTCTCCTCCCTCTCCTCCTCCTCCTCCTCCTCCTCCTCCTCCTCCTCCTCCTCCTCCTCTTCCCTCCCCCTCCTCCCTCCCCGCTCCTCTCCCTCTCCCTCGATTGGAACGACATGCGGCCAGGGACTTTGGCTCTGCGTGTCGCTCCGCCGGCTCTGGTCCACCACGCCTCGTCGCGACACGCGAGCCACGCCCCCATTTCCGAGCGTCCATGCCCCGAGCCCTTTCCCGCCGCCCGTCCCGCGAAGCGGAGCGACACGCTAATTATCCGTTCGCCAGGCACAGCAGGTCGCCATGGGCCGCCGCCGCGACACGCGAAGCAACAGCTCCTGACCACAGGGGATGCCGTGGCTGGAGGTCTGGGAGGGCCGCGCTGACTTCCGATACG